GGTGCTGGAGGAGACTCTTGAGAGTCCCCTGAACTGCAGGGAGAACAAACCTATCCATTCTAAAGGAAATCAACCCTGAGTGCTCACTGGAAGGACAGATCCTGAAGCTGAGGCTCTAAGTACTTTGGCCATCTCATGAGAAGAGAAGACTGATGTTGGGAAAGTGTGACGGCAAGAGGAGAAGGGGACAACAGAGGATGAGATGGTTGGACAGTGTCATTGAAGCCACCAACATGAATTTGACCCAACTCCGGGAGGCAGTGGAAAACAGGAGGGCCTGGCGTGCTCTGATCCATGGGGTCAGAAAGAGTCGGACATGACTTAACGACTAAACAACAACAAAAATTTTCATTGGAGTTGAAAAGAGAACAGCATTAATGTAATTGGAAATAATTTTCATGTGTAACATCATGCATGTGTAATACCTGCCATTAGTATAGATTGACATGCTTTCCATCATAATGGTTGCGATTGAAAGCAAATTATTTAGATTATAAGAGTCTATAGAATTTGCAGAAATTATCTACAAACTGAATTACTCTCCAGTTCTGTGTTCTCAAGGAAATGCTCATTGCACATGCTTTATTTAAGCAGTTCTATTTTCTCTCTCCCCCCCCCTTTAAATTATTTTGCAGGTGCTAGCAACAGGCTTAAGTGGCCTATATTCATCTTTGCCTACAAAGCTGGAAGACAAAGGAGAAGAATGGCACTGTTTGCTGAAAGATGACTGGCTTCTTTCTCCAGCTCTTGTGCAGTTTATGAATTCTCTTGAGTTCTGCAATGCAGTAATACAGGTAATAGCATTGAGGAGAAATCCTATCTACGAAAGCAGTATTATAAAGTACATTGTAAGAGCTCATCAAGTCATTTAGAAGTCGGGTTTAGATAATTATAAAATTTAAATTAATTCTACTGCACATTTCTTGTGTTTAGAAGTACACGTCAACATAATCCAGATTTTGATAACCAGTATCACTCATGAGATAGAAATGTATTCTTATCAACATTGCCTTCTTCCTAATAATAATAGATAAACCTTAATCAATTTGTAAAATGGAGATTTATTTTCAGGGACAATACTGTGCTGCTTTGAGTTATTTATTCTACTATTATAGAACACTGGTTTGAACATAAAATATATGTGTAGACGTAGATTCAGTTATTTGTGAGCCATTTCCACTATGGTGGATTTGATTAGTATATTTCAAGAGTACAAATTAAATTCTTTTTGGTCTTCTTACATTCTTTGCTCTTCATTATTTCTTAATTAAATTTTCACTCTTGATTCCTTGTTGTTCCTCAGTCTAATGATAAAATCAGATTTTTAAAATCTCTTTGATGCTGCACTCAGGATTGTTATTTCGGCAAGACTCTACAGGATCTGTAGCTTTATTAGATATGTGCAAGTTTGCTTGATCTCATTAGTGAAACTAGAAGGTCAAAAATGGAAGAATTTGTATGAACCAGATGGGAAAATTGTTGCGTTTCCACTCAGATTGTAGAAGAGATAAATCTGTCTATATTACTTCTAAAAGCTTGTGCGTTGCATTACATACAAATATCTGTGCTTTGTATGAAGATTATTGCTGGATCAGACCAGAGGGATGTCTAGGGATGGATCTTTCATGTTTAAACAAAAGACCAAAAAGACAAAAGAGCCTCTTTGGTGTGTAATTCATTTTCTTTTGCTGATTGCCAAGAGGGCTTCTAAGACATGAATGAGAGCTTCTAAGACATGAATGATTCCATATTAGGTGAGGAGGATACTCAGACGTTTGGTGTTCTTTTGTGTTTCCTCACTTGTGTATACTTTCTCTGTTCTTTCACACTTTGTCTGTCGTCCCCTGAAGAATTTTCATCCAGTAGTGTTGCAAGGATTGTCAGAATCAGCAGCCAATCAAAATGTCTAGGAAATTGGCACTATGTTTATTTCCTGGTGCCATCCATCTTGGATTGCTGCCTGCTAATGCCTTCATGTTGGATCCTTTCCTTTTTTTTTACCCTTTTCTCTTTGATTTTTGAGATAACCCCCCCCTCCCAAATTTATTTGAATTATTTTTATTGCTGGCAGGCAGTCTGCATGTGCCAGCATGCTTCTTTGGGATTATTTTTGGACACCCACACCTTGATTTCTTTGGGGATTTTTTTTTTTTTTTTTTTGTGGTGGTGGTGGGAGTTTCCAGTCTTTCTTGAACTTTTTTTTCTGACTTGGCTTGATCTGCCTGCTACCGGACTTAAAAGAAAAGAAGAAAATACAAAAAGTGGTGGAGGAAAGAGAAATCTCCCCAGATTCTAGTTGTTTTGGAGTGGTTTTTTTTTGCCGGGGGGGGGGAATTATTTTCTCTATTTACTTACTTGATTGGGGCAGAGCAGGCTCACTCTATGTGTTTTATTTGTATTTTTTACCCGTATGTGAGAGTGGAGTTCCTTCTCTCTTTGACTTTCTTTTTAAAAACTATGTTATCTGGTTAATTTGCTGTGCATATTTTGGTGGGCTTTGGGTTTGTGTATGGGACCTAGGGTGAACTTTGTAACTGCTAATTTGTCATTGCACTATGAGAGGTTGTTGATGTTTGTTGAGTACAGCTTGTCATATTTCTTGGTGTTGTGAACAAGAAACATGAGGCTTTCCCTTTTGTGTAAAATGAAATAACTAATATATGGAAAAATTACGAACAAAAGTGACACTTTTCTAAAGAAACCAAAATTAAAGTAATACAAAAAGTTTCACTGTACATGTCTCAGCTTTCTGTGTTCATACTGGCCAACCAGATGCCAATAGGAGACCCAGAAGCAGGAGAATGATACTTCCTAGTAAAGTTTCCATACTACTGATACTGTACATCAATGCATGCTTTTTCCATTACTGGAGGTGATGATATAGCCATCTAGAGATTTCACCCTTGCATGGTGTGAATGATAAAATCTAAATCGATTTAAATGATACTTAAATGTAGTCCTTAATGTCAGTGTGACCACAGCCTTAAATAGATAGAAGGTTTTTTTTATCTTTGTTCACTGACAGTTATTATGTACACATCTCGGTCAGATATGAGTCTGTGCTATGGCGTGTGTAGTGAGTGAAGTGACAGGCTAGGGTTCAGTAGACTTGGTTTGAATCCCTGCTCAGCCATGGAAGCTCAACGTGTCTGCATGTGGGGCTGGAACACTTAAAACCACTCCTTAAATATCTCACTTGAAGCATGCATAGAACTAAAGTCAGAGTTTGGAGTTAATCTCATCATGTATTCAAATACAGTCAGAGAACTTAATTTAGAGGTTATATTTAGTTGTGTTTTTTTTTTAAAATAACCCGTTGTGTTATACCTTAGGTTACAAATTAAGCATAGTACCCTAAACCCACTTTCAATCTTCTCCTTCTCTCTTTCCTTCCTTCCGTCCTTTTTTTTTTAGGTAGCACATCCATTGATTCGCAACCAGCTTGTGAACTACATTTATAATGGGTTTTTGGTACCTGTTATGGCCCCAGCTCTCCATAAGGTCAGTCATTTTTCTGTGTTTGGCTTTGTAAAACTCAGTAACAAAGTTCAGTGGCATAAGAATATTATGTGTATGATGAAGGGGAGTTAAACTTAATAGTTTGCTGCCACCACCAATTTTCAGGCATTTAAGACTTCCTGCCTCTGTCCTGCTGTCCACAAAGGCTTCTTCAGGACCGAAGAGATCCTGTGGGAGCCTAGGAACCTTGGGAGAGGGAGGTATAGAAAACTTTTAATTTGCAAAATACAGCCATGCCTGATGATTAATAATAGTTGGTATACAATGTACACTTGCTTTAGGTAATTCACAGAAATACAGTGGTCTGTAATGCTATTTGTGGCCCTGGTATTTTGGGGGAGTGCATTAATGTCTGAATGTCCACTTCTGCTTTGGACAGCTTTCAGGGGTCAACTCTTCTCTACATTGGTTTCATGGTTTATCAAATAAATAAATCTACATTTCCAGATTTTAAGGTGCTGCTTAAAGTCTCAGGGGGTTGCTATGCTCCAGACAGGGAGATATATGTCTGGTCAACCATTGCTCGAATAGAGTTAATTTTGTGTGTGTGTGTGTGTGTGAAGTTTCTGTAAAGTCTGGCTACCTTTCTCCATCCATTCTCAAGTGGCACCTCGGCTCTGTGGTTTAGCATAAAAGTATATGTGTTTGCTTGCTGAGTCTGTGACATCACAAGGACTCATGTGTGATATTACAAGGACACACAGTTGTGATATTAGAGGGGGCCAGTAAGGTTTCAGAGCTTGACCCAGAAATCTCAGAAAGTGGCATGATGCTGACCTGGCAATTCTATTTTTGCTGTTCCCTCTCCTTGAAGACGATGAATTGTGCATTTAGTATCCACAAATAATGCCCTCCCTAACTTCTTTACGTTTTTACAAGTTATGAAATCCTTAATTTTTTTGCAAAATTAAATTGTTACAAATAATTGTAATAGATTATCTTAACAGCTGAAATGGATTAGATTTAAATAAATGTTAACTTTAGCCAGAATAATAATTGGTTATACTTTTCTTCTAATTTCTCTGCAACTTAAGGCTTCAGCTCTGTTCTTTGAATGTTTTGAATGTTTTTCCTATATGAACATATTGTACTCTGGCTACAGTCCATAAATTCATTAAGTTACACTTTAGGAAGCTAGAAGGGGGAGGGGCTTAACATGGTGGCTGGTATACCCCTCAAGCAGGAACTGATATGTGATGCATTCTTGTATTGCTAAAGCATGAGTATTTCAGCTGTTTAAATGAGAGATTGCTGTGACAGTCTCATTAGCATTTGAAAGTCTTTCAGTACAACCTGCCATGTAGATAATTAATAGAATTATTAATATTGAGTCAAAAGTGTCCATCTTTCTCCAGATTTTTCACCATGTCCTGTCATCTTTATTGGACTGTTAAGACTTTTGAGTTCTTTGTTCTCATTTTCTTGCCTTTAGAACTTTCACTATGCACGGAACAAAGATTATAGATATACAGATGATAGATATTTATGTATTCTTAGAATTAAACATATATATGAAGAAGCATGAACCTTGCATTCAGTGTACTGAAAAATACAAATAAACAAGCAAGCAAAAAAGTACAGTACCTTAGAAGTGAGTACAATCCAAAACATCCTGGTAAAAATACCTGAAGCTCAGATGAGTTTCCAGGATCAGACTTGGGACTATCATCACATGTATTCGTTCAACCTTTTGCTCCTACTAAACCTTAGTAACTAAACAGGTGGATGATTTTTTAAAGATATTTTAAAACGTTCAAGCAGTATTCTTGGAAAATAAGTGACTTATCTTTTATATGCCATGATGGTATATATCAATCCTTGCAAATGAAGCTTGAGTGCATGAAGAAAGAAGGAATATAAGTCCCAATGTACAGAAAACAAATTTCTAATAACATTTGTCATTTTTTCATTTCTGGCAAGACAAGCGATGACTGAGTGCAGAAATACCCAGGCCAAAATATGCTTTGCAGATAAAACTTTGTCTAGTAGTATATTTAGAATCTGTAAAATATCTTCTTCGTTCTACCTGATATATCAGTGTTTGTTGACTCTTTAGCTTAGAGCCACTGCCTGTACACGCAATGAAGCACCCGCTTCATCAGTTCTTTGGCATGTATGTACATTTATTTCAAGCACATGTGTGACTTAAAGTTAGTAATCCTACACATGGATGACTGGGAGTGTCATTGAATTAATAGCCAAATACAGGATTGCACTATAAATGGATAGTTTTCATTAGGGAAAACAGTAGAAAAACAAATTTCATGTAGGCTAGAAGATGAGATATCTTGAGAGATACATGTTAATCACATGGTCTTTTTAGTATTTGTTCTTTAAACATGTTGGATAGAGAAAGTTACAGTGCTCCATCTAGTGGATCTGAGGAAAAGCTAAAAGATGTGGCTATATTTAAAGCGCTCAAATAGGTAAAACTTTCTTTAAAAATGGAAGTTGAATGGTTTCCTCCTTTTTTTGCTTTTTCAATGAATTCATTAAATGCCAAAGAGGTGGCACTTGCAGGATGACTTTTGAGTTTAGGATAGACAGCTTCTGACTGAGCCAGATAAGACATATTTTTTCACTGTCCGGGAACACCTCTTTAATGTAGCAAAACCATTTGTAATCACTAAGTAATATGTGCTGACTTTGATCATGCTCTCTAACTATCTCGCTGACCCACCTGAAAAAAATCTATCAATAGTTGATAAAATAAGGAGAAAACACCCTAAATGTCATCTAAATATACTTTTTCCTGTACACCCCCTTCCCTGATTTCCTAACCTCAGTGAAACAACATATTAATAGTCTGCCAATCTGAATAGAGGAGATTTAGTTGTGAGCAAATGCTAATTTATGAAAGCTGAATTTCAGATGATAGGGACTCTTTTGTATAATTATTTGATTGTAAGGCACTACCAAGTGCTTGAATTCATCTGGCAGACATTTCTGTGGTATGGAGAGCTGCATGGAACTGGAGGAAGAAATTCCCATGACAGCCTGTGGTGGGGGCATTAGATTTCACCCATGGGTTTTTCAAAATCATTTTTGGGAAGTATTTATTTGAGAGAAATGGTGAGAAAGTATGCCTTCTCAAAATAGGCATTTGAATTAGTATAGCTATAGCTAGTCATGATAAGTTCTCACATGTCTCCCTGAGACAATCTAGAAGGATGTTTGTAATATCTATTCTCATATGGCTGGTTTTAACCTATAAAGCCTATAAATGGCTTTATGTCCAAGCTATCTAAATGACCATATATTCCTTTAAGAGCCTTACCAGTTAAGATCATCAGGAGAGGCTTTTCTGTCAGTCCCATTACCTTCATAGGTGCATTTTGGTGGGGACACGGGAGAGAGCCTTCTCTCTTGCTGCTCCCAGACACTGGACCTCCCTCCAGAAAGAGATCAGCCTGGGCCCAACTCTGCTGTCATTCCACAAGCAGATGGAGACCTTTTGCTTCAGGCAGGCTTTCCTTTGAATGATTGATTTGTATAACGATATCATTTCATTAAGTGTTTCACTTGTGTTTTTAATTTTGCTCTTATTATGAATTTTAATACGATATCTATTTAATGCTTTTGTTAATATTTTAATAATTTATTATTGGTTTTTAACTTAGTTTTTTATCCTTTAGGAAAAAGTTGGCTTATAAATATTGTAAATGAATAAATT